GGGGGGGGGGGGGGGGGGTAGTCAAGTAGAACTCAAAATTAGAATTGGGATAATTTGTGGGACAATATTTATAGTGTTAGTCCATTAGAACTAAAACTAGGATAAAATTATACAGTGTTGTAGGCGTATAAAACTGCCTATAAGTCCCTGAACACAGCTCGACACGGTGATTCGACAAACCAACGAACCATCGGGTGACGTATCTAAACACGAGCGTCAGTCCACAACGCCGAAGCCAAGTGACACGCAACGAAGCGGATTAACGAGGCGACGAGGTTAACGAATCGCACGCAAGCAACGGAATGCATCCATTCGCGTGCGGAATCAAGCTAACAGTTTGGTGAGTCAACAAGTCATCCGACCGTAGAACTGATTCGAACTCGAACTGCAAGGCGGATTTACTGCCAAATCGGGATCCGGACTTCCAAATCAGAGTTCAGATCAACGACGAGGCGGATTTACTGCCAAATCAGGATCCGGACACCAAATCAGAGTCCAGATCAACAGTAAAACTTGGATAAACTGCGAAACCGGACAACGGACGCAACGGCAAACACCCGGCCAAAAACCAAGCCACCCAAGGGTGGCTCGGTGGCCGAGCCACCCAAGTAGGTGAGCCACCCATAGGTGGCCGAGCCGCGGAGCCACACTCAGATTTGGGCCCAGATCTGGGCCCAGATCCGCTTTCAGAGGCTATAAATAGAGGGCTATGGGCTCATTTGTGAAGGGTTGGAATTTTTGGAGGCGAAGCTCTGCTGGATTGAGATCTCAATTTTGAAAGTTTGAAGCTTTGAAGACTTGGAGGTTTTCAGATCTGGTTCTTAGCGAACATCCACGTCAGAAAAGGCAGGAGTTCGAGAGAGGAAGATCAGATCTGAGATCCACACGGTTCGAAAAAGTTACTCGAGGAGAACAATGACTTCAATGAAGAAAACAATTTTTCCCGCGAAACAATCTGGCGCCACAGTGGGAGCCGACGATCTCGCTGCCGAGATCGATGCGTCGCAACCGCGGATCTTGATCCGGTCGAAGAGGAGTCGAATATGAATTCGAGCAACAGAAGTTCGAGGAGTATCTGTCATCCTCGTCCGGATCGACCTCCCCCGCAAAGTCCAAGAAGTTCTCCTCCAGACGGAGAAAGGTACGTTGGTACGAAGAAGTTGAAGCTACCAATGACGATCTCACCCCGATTGACACCAAAGCTGTGTCGGGGTGAGGCTCCACCAACCTCCAACCAGATCAAGCTGGTTCCAACCAATTCCTCCGTCACCAAAGGAGCGGTGACTCTCTCAAAGAGAGCCCGCCAAAGGCAACGCAACGCTTGGCAAAGAATTCGCCAAAGCGAGTGGAGTCCTACCGAGGAAATCCGCTACAACGCGGATCTGAAGGACAGGAGAGGCAAACCCTGGCAACGCCAATGAATGTCAGTTCTCCAAGCCGCTAACGAACGAATGGATCCGTGTCACACGGAATCGTTCGACACTTGAGGAGCGCATTCGCAAGCGCCGCGCAATGTCAGCGCAGGCACGGGCTCAAGTCCAAGAAGCCCGCAGAAGGCTACAGAAGGAAGTAGCCAAAAAGCCGCCACCAACCCGCCAAGTATGGAAGCCGAAGTCTGAAGCGGCGATTCAGGCTAAGGCAAAATCGTTGCAGCCTTCGAAGCAAGGTCAACCTCTGGCGAATCAACCAAAGTCGCCGGTAATCCCAGTAGCTACTCCGGGAGATCCCGTGGAATCATCCCGAAGGAGAAAGTCAGTCTTGGAGCGCCTTGGTCCAATTCCCGATGAACGAGGCAAAGCTCTAGTTCAAGAGCGTTTGGGCCCGATGAAGAAGCCCCAAACGACTCAACACGCTGGGGGTCGCCGCCACCTCCAACATGACAAGGATCTCAAGGCAGCTGCGCGCGCTAATTTGCGCATCGAAGTCCAAGAGCACGCTGAGAACTCACGCCCAAAAAGGCATGTCTCGAGGCACGTAACTCTTGAGAGCCCTAAGAAGGCAGTTCGCCCTCAGAAGGAGACGTTGTCGTCTGATGACGATAACGATATACCTGAGAAATCGTGCCGACACACGATAGGTTACTCCGACCTTCAAAGCGACGAGTTGTACTATCGTGATGGGAGCATGAGGAGAACCAGGAAGAGGAGTCCCCGAGGACTGGAAACTCAATGCCCCTGTTCCAAACTCATTCGGGCGGTATTGTCTGAGTGCAACTGCATCAAGGCAGTCCCGAAAGAGTTTCAGTTTTCGAAAGGCTCAGTGCCGAAATGCCAAAACCAAGGCCTAGGCGTTTCCGACGAAGAAGAAGAGTAGTTGAAGACGGAGAATTTCCAAGGGTCACCACGAATATGACCAGCAAAGGGAAGTCGACACAGGATAATCCCGAGTCAATTCCGGAAGTACCCCGGCGGAGGACCCGTCTGCAGTCCGGAGCCATCATACGAGGAACTTATGGTAGAGTTCGGACAAGATTACCGTCAGAAGATGAAGAATCGGATTCCTGCTCTGCTATCGCATCAGACAATACAGTATCCAGCGAGGGACAACCCCACGAGTCATTTATGATAAGCGCGGAACAAGTGGCCAAGATGCTTGAAGAGGCCATGGATAAACAACAGGAGAGCTTCAGGTTCAAAATGCAGATGACCATGCAGAACATGAGAGAAATGCATGACCAGCAAATCCAAGCATTGACGAACCAGCAAGGCGAGCAAAGTCGTCGTAACCAGGTTAATCTGGAAGACAAGGACACAAATGCAAATGAGACTCATAATGCCAATAATCCTCCCGTCAATGCATGGGGTGGTAATGAGAATGCTAGTGAAAACACAGGTGAAAGCTTGAAGATCAAAAACCTCGAGAGCAAAATCAACACATTG